AACCAGACTTTTTACAAGCACACGCCTGCTACGATCACAATTCCACTCACCGAATCGGCCCGCGCCCATGAAGGGTTCGTTCAGCTCTTCAGGCTGGCAGGTTGATGCTGCTTCTTCTGCAGCCTGCGATACAGTCACATGGGGATTTAATTGGAGAGGAGCATGATCAGATCAACCAGAATAATAGCTGCAGGCTTTCCAGCAGCCTACGATACAGTCACCACATGGCCAGCAGAGAAGGGTCACAGATGTGGAAGACAATTGTATTGTAAGTGTAAGCTGACAGGAATAAAAAAGCACTAAATACTTGGTGGTGTTAGCCCTCCTCTGATGGGCATCAGCATGCAATGCAACCCACACCCGGCCGATTTTTTAGTCGACTCAAAAATCACCTCAGCATGCAATGGAACCCACACCCGGCCTTTTTATGCCCATTACTTCCATCCACACAGCCTGGCGCCACAGACAGGTACCTTTTTTCTCCAGGTACCTATGTTGGAATAAAGCCAGTACCTGGAGAAAATCCACTCACCCTCTGGTGGTCGTACTCCTCCGCAGGACACAGCATGCGATCGACACAGCGCCCGCTTATGGCACACACCAGCATCTGACTTTTGAAGTCGACTCACTAGTCACCTGGAGAAAATCCACTCACCCTCTGGTGGTCGTACTCCTCCGCAGGACTCAGCATGCGATCGACACAGCGCCCGCTTATGGCACACACCAGCATCTGGCTCTCTGCATCCTCTAGCAATTCTGCACAGTTGTCGTCACACACTGGAAACAAAATAGGCAGGGGGATGGCAAGAAGGGAGGGGATGATGAGGATAAGACAGAGGGAGAGAGAGCACTGGGAGCATGCATGCACTTCCTCCACCCTCACAGAATGGTTGTTCTGCTGCCGCAACTCTCCAACCCACTCACCCCCCTCACCCTCTCACCTCACTATCAACCCGCTCACCCCACTCACCCCCCTCACCCCACTCACCCCACTCACTCACTCACCCCACTCACTCACCCCTCGCCCTACTCACCATGCGCCCTGCCCGTCTTCTCGCAAAGAAAAACATTCCCAATGTGGTGGGGAGTGCAGTTCCTTCCGATGTCTAGTTTTGAGGCGCCTCAAAACCAATGCGGTGGGGAGTGCAGTTCCTTCCACTGCACCGATGCGCCTCCCTCCTCCACCCACTCAGGCAGGTTGTTCCTCCCCATCCAGTACCTCTTCACATCCTACAATGCGCATCGGTGCATCGGTGCATCCTGGTTGTGAAGAGGTATAGGATACCTCTTCACCACTCTGCTCCCCAATCACCACTCTGCTCCCCACTCGCCATGCGCCCCTCTCGCCATGCGCCCCACTCACCACGCGCCCTACTCACCATGCGCCCTGCCTGTCTTCTCGCACAGAAAAACATTCCCAATGCGGTGGAAAGTGCAGTTTCCCCCACTGCATGTATGCGCCTCCTCCACCCGCTCAGGCAGGTTGTTCTTCTGCCGCCACTCAGCGACAGCGCGCGCCAGGTCAGAGGTGACGTGGACCAGCTCATCGTACACCTGGTCCCGCCTGGGCACCAGGTTGCGCTTGGCGGCTTGCAGCTGCGCGTAGAAGCCTCTGCAGTCCTGAGGGGAGTCCGCTACAAACTCCTTCATCTCGCCCCGGTCCCTCTGTATTAATGGGGGGTTAGAAGGGGCAAGCCAAAAGAGGGGCGAAAACGGGGAGCATGAGCAAAGAGGAGAGGAAGCCCTGCTTGTAGATGGGCGTAGAAGCCTCTGCAGTCCTGAGGGGAGTCCGCTACAAACTCCTGCATCTCGCCCCGGTCGCCCTATGGAAAGGTAATAACAGGAGAAACCAAGATGGTAACAGCTGATTTTGAGAGCAACAGAGTGAGAGGTGCTATTAGTTAAAGCACACACACCCACTCTCTCTCTCTCTCTCTCTCTCTCACACACACACAAACACACACACACACACAAAACAAAAGCAAGAACAAAAAACCGACAATACACCGGTTCAGGAATGAGGTTGCGGTTTGAGGTTCGCATGGAGTCAGGTCGAGAAACGGGAACAGCTAGCGCACCTCGAAATAAAGGCCCTTCCAGTGGCTACTTTTGAGGCGCCTCAAAAATAGACTCCTCACGCATTTTGAGGCGCCTCAAAAATAGACTCCTCACGCATTTTGAGGCGCCTCAAAAATAGACTCCTCACGCATTTTGAGGCGCCTAAAAAATAGACTCCTCACGCATGGAGTCAGGTCGAGAAACGAGGACAGCTAGCGCACCTCGAAATAAAGCCCCTTCCAGTGGCTACTTTTGAGGCGCCTCAAAAATAGACTCCTCACGCATGGAGTCAGGTCGAGAAACGAGGACAACTAGCCCACCTCGAAATAAAGACCCTTCCAGTGGCTACGGCTGCGAGCGTGCACGCCTGCCCCTCCCGCCCCCCCCCCTGCTCCTCCTACCCCTCCTCCTCCTCCTCCTCCGCCTCCTCCTCCTCCGCCTTCCATGGCAGAGCGGGAGGAGGAAGGGGGAGCGGGGGGCGGGGGACCCCATCGGATGCAGTAGGCGCGGCGCCAGAGGGGCTCCTCTGAGGATGCTGTGCGGAGATAGCGGCACACGCACGCACACACTGACAGGTCCTGAAAACGGGAGGTATATGGGGTTGGGGTATGGGGGTGGGGGGAGGGGAGAAGTGGTGGAGGAGAAAATCCTCTGACGACTGTGCAGAGACAGCAACACACACATGCACAGACGGATAGGTCCTTCCATACGCCTCCCAGGATTTATGATAGTGAACTGCCGGGCTGTCGGGCAACTGCCGGGCAGGCGACTGTCGGGCAAGCGGATGTTGAAGTGGAGGGGATATCCGTGGACGTGGAGGTCCAGGAGGTGTTTTGAAGACGACAGAGGAAGAGGCGGCGATTAAGGTACAGGCGTTCCATAGGCAGTACCCACTCGCAGTGTGTGGTGAAAAGAATTCACACTGCGGTGGAAGTGGTTCCTCTTCACAGCACACTGCGAGTCGATTCTGCCTCTGGAACTCCTGTACCCTACCCGCCGCCTCTTCCTCTGTCATCGTCGAAACACCGCACCGCCTGGACCTTCACGTCCACTGATATCCCCTCCACTCCAACATCCGCTTGCCCGACTTTTGAGGCGCCTCAAAAGTCGTCTCCTTATCCGCGGGTTATCCCCTCCACTCCAACATCCGCTTGCCCGACAGTCGCCTACCCTAGCGGACGGGAACTTGGTAGCATCGCTCTCAATTAACCCCCCTACCCTATCCCACCCCTCCTCTCCCCCCCCGCTCTCTTACCTCAGCCGAATGGAACTTTAGGACGAGGTGGTACAGCTCCGGGGGAAGCAGGCCGAAACATTCTGGTAACCATAAGATGAGTGAGGAGTCTATTTTTGAGGCGCCTAAAAAAATGAAAACTTTCCATGCAGTTACTATACTCCTCCCAGGACCCCCCCTTCCCCCCTCCCTTGCTTACCTCAGCAGACAGAAATTTGTGGACGTGGTGGTACAGCTCCCAGCTAACAGCCTTCTTCCTCTCCCACTCCTCCCCCCCCAACTTCCTCCTCTTGCATACCTCAGCGGACAGGAACTCAAGGACGTGGTGGTACAGCTCTGGCGGAAGCAGGCGGAGACTCCCCGCGATTCCCCCTCCGCGCCCCCCCTCTTTTCCCCTCTCCCTCCCTCACTCCCCCACCTCCCCCCCCCACCACCACAGTGCTTACCTCAGCGGACAGGAACTTAAGGACGTGGTGGTACAGCTCCGGGGGAAGCAGACCGAGACTCCCCGTAAATTGCGGGTCTCCAAATCGAAGCTCTGGTGCAGCAGGGTTCGAGGAACCTTCTGGCTGCTGCTCGTCGTCGCCTAGCCGCCTCCTTTTCTGCGACCGGCTGTTTTGTTCGTCGCCGCCGGGATTGCCGTCCGCTTCGTTATAAGGGGTCTCGTTATTCTCGTCAGCCGCACAGACGTCGATATCCTGCAGAACGACACATATAAGCACAAGGACGAGCAAGAAATGGCAAAAACAAAACAAACAAATAAAAATAACAATACGAAGGTTGAGTAAAGCCATTCGCATAAAACAGCAGGCAGGTGCCCCTAAAAAAGCATACAAAATAAGGGTAACGCACCGTAGGATTTAATCCTCGCTTCCGTCCGCCGCGCTTGAAATCCCCCCCGTCCTGTCCGTCAGATCTTTCCTCGGAATCCGCATCACCGTCCGATCCACCTTTGAGTTCCGGATCCCTGTCGCAGCAGTCGTCACCTTCTTCTCCATCCTCGCTATTGAGGTCCTCGTCTCCGTCCCAAAGGTCGTCCTCTAGGGCTTGAGCGAAGTCAGCATCTTCGGAACTAAACGGATCGGCATCGGGAAAATCGGAGGTAATAGCAGCATCGGATAACGTAGGAGCCATATGCGAAATTTAACGACCAAGAGTTTAAGGACCAAGGTAGAGACCTAGTTAGCAGGAAGTCCCAGGTACTATGTGAGGGTAGGAGGCTGGCAAAGGCATGTGGAGGTCTATGTCATTGTTATTATCAAACTCGATATACCACATAAAATAGATGTGGGTTTTTGCTATCACCAAACATACGAACCAATAACCGAGCTGTACCGATATATGTATCCTGCTTCAGGAACTATTCCTTCAAGTGTACAAGCCGCAAATTTGACACGAGGGTCAACTAAAGTTGAAATCTGGACAGCAACGAAAAACCAAATGTCACTCTCTGCTGACACGAGGCTGGGTGGGACTACCTGAGGGCGTGTCCAGCGCGTACGTTTTTTTGTCAAAACCCTGCCCAGCCGTTTTAGGTTTCTTATCGAGCCTTCTGATCCGTGAGGCACCTCACCCAACCGCAATCAAACGTACGCGCTGGACACGCCCTGACGCGTGCTTCCTTCCCTTCACTCCAGAATATCCTGAGAAACTCAGCATAAATTACGCCCTAAACAAGTTTCTCAGGATATTTTGGAGCCTGTTTCGGAGGAGCCTGTCTGTCCTCTCAAGTCCTCCTAAGCTTCCGGTCTGGAAGATAGTCGCTGCCTGCCTGTGCGCCGAACCAGCAGGTTATCTAAGGTCCGAATCCACTGCGCCGATATTTGGGGAGGGATCCGTCGAATCTCGCGTGTTTTTGCGAGACCAGATCTCGTTCTAGAGGGCCGCTGTGGGGACCTTTACTCAACTCGACTGAGGTCACCGTGACCTCGCACAGAAATCGCTCGACCGAAAGGCGATCCACTTCGGTCGCAACTGATTAACCAGCGAATCTCCAAGTGGATTCGATCTCCTATTAACGTCCGCCTCCGCCGACGCCAGTTACCCTCCTTCAGCCCTATCTGATCTCTTTGTAGTGCTTACCCGCAGTTACCAGCGCTTACCAGCAGCTACTAGCGCCACCAGCAGTTACCAGCGCTTACCAGCACCAGTTACCAGCACTTACTACCAGCAGCCGCTAAGGACACGCTTTTCTTACCAGCAGCCACTAAAGACACGCTTTCTGTACCAGCGCTTACCTCCAGAAGCCATGGATCGGTGCATGAACAGAGTCATCGCTGGTGTCGCCGTCGGCGGCGCCGTTGGCGGAGCGATCGGTAAGAAAGCGCTTGCTTGTTTTTTCTAGCACTTGCCAGCAGTAACTACCAGCAGCCATGGACCGGTGCACGAACAGAGTCACGTTTGGAGGCGCCTCATAACTAGACCGGTTCATTAATAGAGTCATCGCCGGTGTCGTCGCCGTCGGCGGCGCCGTTGGCGGCGCGATTGGTGAGTGGACGCTCTGATGGCCAAAACGTTCCATTTGATATGTTCCAGTTTATCTTTGCATTTGGTTCTGAGGCGCCTTAAAACCAGACTTTTATCACGCGGATTTTGAGGCGCCTTAAAACCAGACTTCTATCGCGCGGATTTTGAGGCGCCTTAAAACCAGACTTCTATCACACGGTTGGTGAGTGGACGCTCTGTTGGCCAACATGTTCCATTTAATATGGTCACTTTATCATTGCATTCGGTTTTGAGGCGCCACAGAACTAGACTTTTATCACGCGGATTCTGAGGCGCCTCAAAACCAGACTTTTATCACGCTATTGGTGAGTAGACGCTCTGATGGTCAACACATTCCATCTGACGTGTTCCAGTTGCATTTGTTGAGAATTCTCAAGAACCTATCTCAGCTCATTCCAATGATTCCATATGATATGCTCCAGTTTATCAATGCATGTGGTTGTTCTTCCTGATATGTTGCATGCATGCGTGATGCATGCTCTGCATGCGAGGTGACTTTCGAGTCGACTCAAAAGTCATATATTCCAGTTTATCATTGCATTTGGTTGCTCTTCCTGATATCTTGCATGCATGATGTACCGCATGACACATGTATGCATCTGCCCTCTTCCCTCTTTTCTGTTATTCTCTTCTCTCCCCCTGCGCCTCCTCCCCTCTCCTCTCCTTGCCCCTCTACTCTCCCGTTCCCTCCTCTGCTCTCGTCTCTGTGGCACATCTCCTCGCGTTTCTTCCCACTTTCTCTTTTGTGCAGGAGCCATGTATGGGACATATGAAGCTTTCAGATACAAGGTGCGAATTCTCAAAAACCAGCTTAGCTCGGATACAAGGTACCGAACCTTGAGCAGGAGGACGAGTCATGTCAGCCTTGATCTTCGATTCATTGTCTATACAGGGCATGAAGTTTTATATGTTATGATAAATAAATGCTTTAACTCTCTTGCATGCACCCAGTTCATCCTACTATGTTCTTCAAGCATGCTCATCATTCAGTGCGTTGGCTAGGCAATGCAATGCACCCGTGTTTCTCATACGAGTGATGTTGCACGTTTTCCATGTTTCTCATACCGGTATGTCTCCTCGATATTCCCTCTCCCATTGCCAATCCTCTCAGGTTCCAGGCCTGCTCAAGGTTCGGTATATAGGCCAGACCACATTGGGAAGTGCAGCTGTATTCGGCTTGTTTCTAGGCGCAGGAAGCCTGATCCACTGCGGCAAATCATACTAAAACAGTTGGCTAAGGCAGAGCCCTGTATGTGCCACGTCTCTTCATATGATATTGCTGTTGTAACATGGTCCCTGGTTTTGAAGAGTTTGTCTTTCCTAAGTACTGGTATAACTGCCCAGCCGATGGTATACACCGAAGATCCCAACTCCAAAACGGTACTGCTTGTATGGTAACAAAAGAATGGCATCCTTTCGCATGTCATGTCATGTGTGCATGCTTCACGCGCGCTCTATACAGTGCATACTACATAGTTCCACCACCCAAATAAAAGTCTGGCCAAGTCATCCTAGGGCCTGTGGTTAGAGTCTATAGTTAGGTCAGACTAGCACACGGTGGTTGCTTTTCCCATATCCACACTGGTCACTGTGCTACCATGCAAGCAATGCTCGTCGGTGCTGACTTTTGAGTCAACTCATAAGTCAGACTAGCACGCGGGGGTTGCTCCCCGCCCCGGATATCCACACTGGCCACAGCACCATGCAATTCCCGCTGCCGGTGCTGGCAGTAATGCCATCTGTGACAAGGGCAAACTTCAGAATGTACCTGACTTGTGAGTCCATTCAAACTCACAGCCTGCACTGGTGGCAGCAAACCCACCACCATCGCGATTTGAATAGAGCAATTTACCCCACTTTCCGGGTCTATTAACCCGTCTGCACCGGCCGCAGCAACCCCACCACCACAAGGGCAAACTCGGCAATTTCCAGCCCAACCGATGCCACTACCTCGCCCGCCCCCTCCGCGGGTATTTCATGCCTGCCGCCCCCTCCCGACCCTCCTGCGTTCCGGCTGATGCGCCGCGGCTCCTAACACAATCCTCATCTGCCTCGCCTCCTCCTCCACCGAATCTGCCTTGGCCCAGAATGACTTGTCTAGACTGATTGAGCTGTTGTGTGTTAACAGCCCACTTGCACCGGCCGCAGCAACCCCACCACCACGAGGGCAAACTCGGCAATCTCCAGCCCAACCGATGCCACCACCTCGCCCGCCCTCTCCGCAGGTATCCCGTGCCTGCCGCCCCCTCCCATCCTCCCTCCTCCCGACCCCCCTGCGTTCCAACTGATAGGCAGGTGCGCTGCCGCTCCAAACACTATCCTCATCTGCCTCGCTTCTTCCTCTACTGAATCCACCTTGGTCCAGAAGGACTTGTCTAAATTCAGCTGGGCAGTGGTGGTGGAGATGGTGGTGGTGGTGGTGGTGGTGGTAGCGATTACACACTCCTTCGAAGTGGAAACTGTGCTGCAGCTGCTGCTGCCGCTGCTGCCGCCGCCACCACCCGTAATACACGTGTCTTGAGTATTCCCAATGGGGCATGCAATTCCGCTGCTCACTGGTCTATGGCTGTTTGCCAAACCTTGTCTGCCGCCACTGCTGCTGCTGCTGCTGCTGCTGCTGCTGTTAATGCTGTGGCTGGTGGGGCTGTTTCTTCTGTGCTCTGAGAGATGATGCTTGGAGGAGGGCGAGAACAGTGAAAGGGACGAGGTGGGCTTTCTGGGAGTCTTCTTGGGGTCAGCAGGTTTATTTTGGGAAATAATTTGCTCCAGGCCCTGCAATGGGAAAGAGGGAGACAATAACGACGGGCAGGAACATGAAAACAATTAATCATAATGCGAAAATATTGAGTCGTCTCACCTCTCCCCTCCAGGTCACCCGCTCCCTCTAGGTCTCTCTGTAAGCTGCTGCTGAGGTGCGTCCAAGACTTACCCGAGCCAGGGATGCTCGCATGTGGGATGACGTCTGGGCGATCTGGTCGATGGTTGCTAGCGCTTCCTCCAGCGCTGCTATAGCCACCCGCAGCCTCGCCACCACTGACAGCGTCACTCTCTCCCCGTCCCCCCTGGTTCTCTCTCTCTAGGCTGCTGGTGAGGTAGTTTTTGAGAATTCTCAAAAACACCCTGGTTCTCTCTCTAGGCTGCTGTTGAGGTACTTCCAATGAGCTGCCTAGAACACTTACCCGAGCCAATGAAGAGCGCATGTCGGATGACGTCTGGGCGATCTGGTCGATGGTTGCTAGCGCTTCCTCCAGCGCTGCTATATCCACCCGCAGCCGCGCCACCACTGATGGCGTCACCCTCTCTCGGTCCCCCCTGGGGGAACTCCCCCTGCTGCTCCCCCCAGTCAGATACGCCGATCCCCCACTCCCCCCTCCACCTCCCATTCCTCCCCCTCCCCCCCCTCCTCCACCTCCCCCGGCTCCCCCTCCACTGGGCGCCCCTCCCCCCGAATTCCGCCCCCCAACACCCTTGAAAAGACCAAAGAGCGAGAATGCTGACGCTGCACCTGCCGAGCTGGGCCCTCCCCCAGTTCCTCCTCCCCCTCCTCCCCCCCCTATTCCAAAGCTGCTTTCCGAGTGGAAGGAGCTCTGCCTAGACCGGTTCACGTTGATTGAAGGGGGAGGGACGAACCCCCCTCCGAACACTGGTGACCGGCTGTGGAACTGATACGAGCTCTGGCTCTGACTCTGGCCTTGATAATGCATCTGATAATGAGGAACGTTGATAGCCCCTGTTCCCATTCCCCCTCCTCCTCCTCCTCCTCCTCCTCCTGCTCCTGCTCCTCCTGCTGCTCCGTACAGCCCTTGCAATCCGCCTCCCATCATAATCATGCCTCCATACCCACCCCCTCCCGCTGCTCCTTCCCCCACTCCTCCCACCCCCCCTGGCCCGTACTCTGAAGCAGCACTGCCATCTAGAGGGTCGAGCGAGGGGGACGAGGACCAGAGCGCAGGGATCATGGTGCTCTCTGAACCAGCGGACCACACGCCTGCTGTCTCTGCGCTCTGCCAGGGGAGGGAGCTGGGAGGGAGAGGAACAGGGACAAGATAGAGTGAGGGCGACAAGGAGAGCACCACAGGGGGACGAGGACCAGAGCGCGGGGATCATGATGCTCTCTGAACCAGCGGACCACACTCCTCCTGTCTCCGCACTCTGCAAGGGAAGGGAGCTGGGAGGGAGGGGGGATAATGGCAAAAGGAGAGAGTGAGAGGGTGCGTGGCCTGTACCCAGGATAGCCCAGCAACGAAGGACCGTTCATTGAGAGGGGGACGAGGACTGGAACGCGGGAATCATGGTGCTCTCTGAAGCACCAGATTGCAGGACGCGGGATTAATGAGGAGGGGGAAGAGGAACGGGGAGTCGGGGGCAATGCAGGATCAGGGGGGGCAGAGATCCATGCGTGAGGAGTCTTTTTCAGAGGCGCCTTAAAAATAGACTCCTCATAATGAGGAGGGGGAAGAGGAACGGGGAGTCGGGGGAAATGCAGGATCAGTGGGGTGGAAGAACGTACTCTCTCTCTTGTGATGGTCTCGTCTCCTTTCCAGGGACATGAAGTGGTCTAGTTATGGGACGTCTCAAAACTAAACTACTTAACCTCGTTTTCAGGGACATAAGGGAGATCTTGTCTCGTCTCGTCTCGTCTCATAAAGGAGGTCTTGTCGGGTCTCGTCTCGTTTCATAAAGGAGGTCTCGTGGGGGAGAGGGAGGCAGGGGGAAGAGGGGGAGGCAGGGGGAAGAGACTCACTCTCTCGCGATGATCTCGTCTCGCTTCCGCACTTCCTGCTGCAGCGCCACGACCTCGTCCCTTAGCTGCTGCACCTCCGCTGCCGTGTCCGCCAGCTGCATGAGCGCATTCACCTTCTCTGCCGTCACCTGCAAGGGCAGCAGAGAGAAAGACACAGAGCAAAGGGTAAGACCAACAGGCAGAGCTGCAGTGCCCAAACCTCGTCTCGTCCCTCGGCTGCTGCAGCTCCGCTGCTGTGTCAACCAGCTGCATGAGGGGCGTTCACCTTCTCTGCTGTCACATGGGAGTGGAAACAGCACGCAAATGGCACAGGGGGGGGGGGGGGGGGGGCGGGGAAGAAGGGGCAATGTCACAACAACCTCGTCCCTCAGCAGCTACACCTCCGCTGCCGTGTCTGCCAGCTGCATGAGCGCGTTCACCTATTCGGCCGTCACGTGGAACGAATGTGCACAAGTGGTGAGGGGGAAGGGAGGGGGTCATCTGCACTGCGATTTTTGAGGCGCCTCAAGAATGTGCACAAGTGGAGAGGGGGAGGAGAGGGGGAAGGGAGGGGGTCATTTGCACAGCGATCTCGTCGTCCCTAAGCTGTGTCTGTGAAGCTGCAGCACCTCTGCTCTGTTCCTGTGTCTGCAGGGTGTTTCTGAGAAATCTCAAAACTTGTCTGCTAGCTGCGCTGCATCAGCGCGTCCACCTGTTATGCTGTAAGTTGGTTCTTGAGAAAGATGAGAAACCAACTTACCTCGGCTCTGTTCCCGTGTCTGTTAGCTGCGCTGCCTCAGCGCATCCACCTTCTCTGCCGTCACCTGGGAGTGAAAGCAGCACACCTGCAAGCCTTTCAACAGCCGCTCCTCCTCTGCAGCCAGCATCACCAGCGCCGCCACCCACCTTATCCCTCATCGCCTCTAGTGGTTCCCAGGCGTTTCCTACCCCAGCTCTCACCTGACTCAGGGTGGCATTCAGCCCAGCGATCGTCTCCCTCAGACTCCCAACCATCTGTGAGTCCTTCAAGTGCCTCTCCTCCTCCGCAGCCAGCATCACGAGCGCCTGCACCTTCTCCCTCATCGCCTGGGACAGCATCTCCTCAGTCGGCTCCTCCCCATACGGATCCTTGCTAGAGAACTGATATTTTTCTAGCCCATCCGAGAGCTCCTCTGAGCCTGAAGAAGGCAGGTTCTTTGGCGTTCCTGCACCTCCCATGTCCCCACCACCTCTTCTCCTCCTCTCCTCCCTCTCTTTCTCGAGCTCACGCTGGACATCCCTCAGCCGCTGCTGCACCTCCTCTCTCTCCCTCATTCCCTTCTCCCTCTCTGCTTGCACTGCCGCTGCTGCTTCCGCTTTCGCCCGAGCCACCTGTGCTGCTGCTTCCTTCCCCACTAGGTCCCACTCCCTCGCACCGTTTCTTCTGCTCTCCACTTCCCCTCTCAACCCCTCCACTTCCTCTCTCAACCGCGCTCCCTCCTCTCTCTCCCTCCCAAGCTCCTCCCTCAACCTCCCCTCCACCTCCTTCCCCTCCCTCTCCACCCTCTCCCTCTCCCTCCGCTCCTCCTCTCTCTCCCTCTCCATCCTCTCCCGTTCCCTCCTCGCCTCCTCCCTCTCCCTATCCGCCCTCTCCCTCTCCCGTTCC